ATATAATAATAACTTGTATTTCTTTTTTTTTATCTATATAATTTTTTTTTGGTACTTCAAGCTTTTATTTGATACAATAAATCTATAACTATCCATTAGATAAGTGGATCTCTTATTGTAGGGGCAACCTCCTTATTTGATGGCTTGGTGGTGGCCAAACTCTCAAACTTGTCTCTCGAATAGGAGAAGAAAGACAGATTAATCTCTTTAAAAAAAGTTGGTAAAAACAAATTGTTATGTTAAATTATTAATTAAAATAAATGACCTATTATTTAACATATATGTCATTACATATTAGTTTTTTTTTGTTAAAAATATGTTTAGTAGCAAATAGATTTTTTATGTGTGATAATGTCACATATTAAATAATATGTTATTTATTTTAATTGATAATTTGAAATGATAATTTATTTTTTTTTTTTTTAAAGAAGTGAATATGTTCCTATCTTTTTATTTGAGAGACAATTTTGAGAGTTCTGTCACTCAATGGTTGGATTTGACCATAAAACATCAAATTATTATTTTTAGATAATCCAGTTTTCTTTTTTTATGTAATTAACATCCTTCTATCTTATTTTAATGTGGTGTTAAAGAAAGATGTAGTAATTGAAATTGACCCTTCAGTTAGTGCAGGTTTATTGTTTACCAAAAAATTTGCTGCTAATACAAGTCTATTGGTAAGAAAAAAAATAAAAACTGAACAAGTGTTCCTTCCGTGTGTTCTGTACTATAATGTAAAAAGATGATATAATGAATTCATTCCTTCATTCCTTCATTTCTCCCATGTGAACTGAAGCCAAGCTTGAGGCAAGGCTTGATATTTTTGGCTGCACTAAGACAATTGTTTTTTCTTGTGCATTTGGCAACCTAATCCAATAATTTTATAGATGAGAAAGGTTGGTGCTAAGTTTGTGGGCGGCTTGACAATCCTTGAGAGTTGAGACAAGAACATTCATGTAAAAGATCGGACACCCATTTAGTCCGAATCCAAACATTTTTCTTTTTCAAAAATTGGCTAGCTGTTGGGTGGGAATTCATGACTAATCCAACTTCCACTGCAGGATTTGGTGCAGGTGCATGCAGCCCCTTTCTTTGACCCATAAATTGTACCATGTATGTACAACACTTTAATGTGCCTTTGTGAACTTGTTATAATAATTTATAATCATGCAACCATGCATGTCTTCTCAAATATACATTTTTTAAAGTAATTCATAATGATATGCAGCTTAATTATATAAATTGAAGAGCCACCAGTGAATCGTGCATCTTTAATCAAATTGCTGAACTTTGATGATCATCCAACTAGCCGTTCAAAATTGACTCTCTTTCGATTTTTGTTCGAGATTTTGCATGTTCCACTAACATAAATATGGTTTTTTTTTTACACAAATTAAAAAGTGTAGTTAATATATTTTTTATATTTAATTTAATTAATTAATCAATTAAAATTATTTATATATATGTCAATAGTATTAAAATAAATATTAATTTTTATAATTTTTTATGTGAATTAATTATAAAAAGCTCTATTATTGTATCCAAGTTAGATCAACCCTATAAATTTTTGTAAATTGAGATCCTGTGGTTAGTTGCATTAACTATTGTGTCTTTTATCATTAATAATTATTAGTTTAGTAATATTAATACCTATAATAGTTAACTACCTAAGTAATTCAATAGTTATTTCTTTCTGTTGGAAATAAAAAGTATTGAATTCGAGTTGTATGGTATACAAGTGGAGTGATATAAGAGATGAAATATGATTGTCTTCAATTGTGTAACAAAGATAAAATATATATATAATCCTGTAATAAAAATAAAAGTGGTTTAGTAGTATTAATCTAATCTTTTAATAAATATAAAAAATTTTGAGTTTAACTTATTTGAATGTGTGCTAATTGTGTAATTAAGAAAAGGATATTGGCGAGTTAACTGTATGCTTATCAGCATATGTAAAGTTACAATCAGCTTGCAAAGACCTTTGCATTTTGTGGGTCATTAAGATTCTTTTATTAGCAACGTCAAAGTTACAAGACAAACATTTGAACATAATCACTTACTTATAAATTGTGGGGTAAAACGGACCGTCGGCTTTGCAAAAGGTTGCATATGCTAATTAAGCGACCACCCCTGGTCAAACAACGAGGTACACCGTTCAACTGCCTTTAAGCCGAAAAGAAGATGATCACTGTGTTTTCTTTTTTATCTTCTTCCCGCATTGTACCGACATGTCTGGAACGTTGAGGATTCTGTAGCTGCTGCTGCGGCGGCCCAGAACCATTTTTAGTCCCTTCGTTAAAAGCAATTTTGTAAAGGCACGCCGAAAGCACATACATCTATCTACATGGTCATGGCCAAGCAGCATGTGTTTGCCATGAAAGGCAATGATCTCTATTGTATTTTGACTTTTATGGGTTGTGATCCTCTTTTGTGATATTATATTGATTAGGCTATATAGAGTTTTATTGTGAATTTCGGTGTTTTGTTGTTTTCACTACAATTTTTTTTTTTTTTTACAATAGTGATATGTATTTTTGTTTATAAGATCTAAATTAATATTTATTAACTAATTAATTATAATTTTAAATCAAAATTAAGAGTTGAAATTCATGTAATACTAAATAACTAATAAAATTGTAGGCGGGGGAGGTGGAGAAGTTTAATTAATGTACGCAATTCCCCAATTTATTTTGGGCCTCCCTTTGGAAACAACTTGACAACTTGAGGTCCCCAATCCCCAAGATATCCAATGGCGTAATGAACATGCTCATCTACAGCTCCAGCTCCACAAGGAGAGAGAGAGAGAATAACCAAATTAGGGAAGGAGAAACTTAAAAATTAATTAATTTTCACCAAAAAAAAAAAGAAACAAAGAAAGAGAGACAGAAAATGAAAGCTGAAAGTTTGAAACTAAATAATTGAAATTCATGACCATACATGCATGTTGGTCAGCAATGGACCTTTCCAGGCCCCTATGTCGGCCATAGCTGGCACTACAAAAAAGACAAAAGGAAAAAGAAAAATTAAAATGTTTTGTCGTTAAAAATATTAAAATATTTAATTATAATTATTAAATATATAAAATGTAATATAAATTTTATTATTATTTTTTTTTTTAACAAATTTTTACAAGAGCTGGGTTCGAACCCTAGCCCTAGGGGAGGGGGGAATGCACTATGAGTGGCTATTGTTACTTGATTCGAAAGATTCGGTGTAAATTTTAATTTTATTAAATTTATTATCTAATAATTATTAAATATTTTAATGTTTTTAATGTTAAATTTTAATTTTAATTCCCTTATGGCGTCTTCAGAATTCCTATAGATCCGCCCTGGCTTTTAGGCCTAAATCTAGGGTCTAGTTACCC